GATATCTCTTACAATAAAAGAGAAACAGTACTTTATTATTACATGTTCTGTGGAAAATACTCAATTTTGAAGTCCGGAAAAAATAGTCCAGAATTTTCCGATTTGTCTGAAAATTTTAGAGAATACTAAACAAAATTAGGGCTTTAATTTTGTAATTGATAACTTTTTGTGAAAATCCAACAAAACGAAATAAGCGGCTTTGAAGTGGTGCAACTCATTCCACAGCTATTATTGGCATTTTCGGCACTTTTTGGTTACAAACGGCATATCTAACCAGAATGGAAATTGTCTTTAAAGTTGTAAATTACAAAAATCAAGCAACCATTAATGTTTAGTATAACCTGAACTTGTCAGAGAAATGAAAAGTTCTGGAATATTTTTTCAGGGCTCCAAGCTGCAGCCTTCATTTTGCTGTAATTTTAACCTTCTCTGAAATAAATTTCCTCCTTATCTCAAACCAAGTTCAATTGAACCTAATCTTCTTCTAACATCCTATTTGATACACTGTACTTCATATCAAAGTACCAGTGATCTCTCTAAACATGTGTCCAATTTCTTATCTTATCACTACCAAATTAATTGTTTTCTACTGTTTTTCGCATTCTGTGAATTCTCTGATTTTCTGTTTATTTGTGTCATGTTAGATTTTATTAAATTAACTTGCAACAACAATCCCAGAAATGCTCTTCCAGAATTCCAAGTTCCGCCCATTTCCCCCCTATTTCCGTCTCAGTGATCATGTCTAAATCAAATGATGATAAGACCATTTTTTGTGCCAGAATTTCTCCCTCACGGTTTCGTTGGAGTGAACCATTGATCAATGTCGTCCACAAACTATCGATTCACGTGAAACAGGAAACGATCGTTTTGTCTTTGATCTTTCGGTTGGCCATAACCTTTTTTGCAGCAGGAGGGATGCACCTCGTGCTGGTGCATCATCATATGCACACACAAGATTCACCCGGAATTGATACTGAATTCTGAATTTATGAATCTTTTGTGACTCTGCTCGCAGTTTCTGTGATCTGTGATATTTCACCAAAACACCATGTTGTACTCCATCACGTCATTCTTCTCCAAAAATGGTTTTTTTTTAAATTTTCTTCCGAAGCCATCGTTGCATCTCCCAGCCGGAAAACTTTAGATCGCAGACAGCGATTTTTCGCCGAAAAGTGCACTAATTTGGATTTTTTTTGAATATACACCTGGTACGGATTCTTGTAAGAGATATATGGAAATTAGAAAACAATTTGTTGAGTCGGATATATGTAGTGGGATGTGAAGTTATCGACAAAACTGCATCATGTTTCCTAAATATCTAGTTGGCTCACAACTTTTTTGAAACAGTTATCTATTTTTCTAGAAGATTCCGCCCCCAAAGGCTTAAATTATTCCCAACCCTACAAATCATAAATTCATCGGCAGAATCCTAACTATTATATCTATACCATCTAAATGATCATCTATTGGTCACTAGGCCATCAGGTTTTGCGTAGAAAAATTTGCATGAAATAACCATCGGCGATGGTCGATGGTTTTTCGTATTTCGGGTACGATGAACACAAATTCTCTGGGTGGAATCGAAAAATTGTGATTAAATTATGTTTTCTGACTAATCAGTAAATTTCTGTTTCTATGTCTCTACATTAATTTCGAATTTCAAGAAATAGCAATGCTTCACGTCCATTCGGAATATTTGAAATTTATCAAATTACTAAAAATTGTAATCTTCCTAAAACGACACCAATTTTCGAAATATTTTTAACTCATGAAAATTAGCAGCCGAATTCAAAATACCTCCAAAATTCTAACATAACGCCATCCTATACTTTCACTTTGAGACCAATTATCTCAATTTCTTTACGAGATATCAAAAATCCGTCAACTTATAACATGTTTGTCATAGTAGCACCAATATTTTATCTGTTGACAGATTTTTCAAAGCTCTACTCAAATTGAGATAACTGAGCTCCGCTTGTGATGACGTAAATAAAGTATTACTTATTGAACTGAGAAATTTCAGCTCTTTTCGATTTTCCGGTTCCCAAGTTTTCCAATTTCGAATACAAGTCTCTCCTAGATATAATCTTTTTAAAAAAACTGCTGAAGATCAGCCTCAAACACCTACACCATTGATCTTCGACATAAAGCAGACATATGTCGCGAAGAAGAAGACCTGAAGAGATAAACGATCTACCGTGAAGAATCTCAACCCATCAAAACAAGCAAATCTTCCCTAGATCTAGCTTCATCGGCCGAAGATCGATACTATTTTAGAGTAATCCAGGTTTCTAAAATTTTCCGCTGTTTCAAAGTATTCATAAAGATTTCGGAGCTACTTTGAACATCGTTGACACCACTCCTTTGTGATTCCACTATTAAAATATACCACCTATCATCAAGTTTTGAAAAGAAAAATGAATTATGAAATCAGTTATTAATTTGATTTTACGATTTTCGAGATTTTCAGAGTTCCTCGTACTTATAGATTATAGACCTCTGATCTACTACCAGACCGTAGACACCGATCCCTATCAGCTCTAGATCTTCCCTTTCGTCTCTTCTTTCATGCGAGGGTATCTTATTTTTCCCTTACACTACCGATTCCTGCCCGATTTTTTCATCCAGGCCTCCCATTCCTAGAAAACGAAACTCTAGTCTTTCTATCCTCGGAATATCCGGATATTAGATCTTATGGTATTTCTAATGAGAAAGTCTTTTGAACGGTTTCGAACACTAGTTTTTCGTGCTATCTGGTAGATCAAAAGAGAAATTATGTCAAGATTTTCCGAGAAATTCAAAGTTACTACGGTACCATGCTCCTGTAAAAGTCATCATGGTGTTTCAAAATTTTACGTCATTGTCAGCCTTTTTATCCAGAGGAGCCTTGATTTCTGGAAATGTCATCAAACAAGTTGGGGTGGCTCCAGCACTCGAGACTTGCAATTTTGAATTGTCTAGAATTAACAAGGTGCAAAGTATTAGTTTTAAAACTCGATAGCTATTTGAAATTTTTCTGAGCAATTTTTTTTCTGAGCAGTTTCATCAATATGTTAGAATCCGCTTTTAATTTATTGCAGCAGTGTTTCGTCAGTAAACAGCGTCGTACAAAAGTTCCTAGAAGTAGTGAATACTTTTGGAAAATATGTTTTTTATTTTTTATCGTCATCATTCTCTCATTCAAGACCCAAAAGCTTTATCCGATATCCTTCTTCCCATTCTTCCGATCCTTTTCTTCTTCCATCTCTCGCTCAGATCTATATCTGTCCCCAGAATCGCCAAAATATCGTAGCCCCTCCTTCTCCAAATTCTGATCTTGATCTCCATCCTCATCTTCTGTTTTCCCCCCATTATCCCTTCAGATTCTTCATTCAATATAGAACATTCTGCTCTGGAACAAATTTCCTGAAAGATCTCTTCCAAAAAATTGTTTCCAGCGAAATTAAAACATCAAAGTAACAATAGTAAACGTTTTCTTTTCAATATTTACCCTTACAAACTGGAATTGTCCCGATCTTTTTCTCTTTTTTTTCGCTCTCTGTGATTTCTCACCGAACTGCTCATTGAATCAATTCTCCTCCCGGTACACAAAACAGAGCACATCACAGTTTTTTACTTCGTTTTTTGATGCCAGATTTTTATTGAGCAGTGTTGTATTTTCGATGCTCCTCGGTTTTTTCTTGATAAAAGAAAAAGTTTGCTGTTTTAATAATGCTTTCAAATTTATTTTTTCGTAAACTGCGAAAACTGTTTGAAAAATATAATTTTTTGTTAAAATGATCAGTATTCCCACAATGATCAGAACCACTCAAGCTATCACTGATTTGCATTATTTATGAGGGGTAAAATGAATTTAAGGGAAAAAGGAACGGTAGATTTATAGGGATTACTATTGAAATTTTTGTTTTTTTTTTCGAAATTTCTGGATTTGACTTCTTATGATAATCTTTTAAACTGAAATAAGCCAAAACGAGCTAAACCTTCTGCCATTTATTCAAAAGTACTGAATTAGATTGATTCATAATTTCTTGTCCCGAATTTTGAGTCATTTTATAAACTTTATCAAGGGGGAATGTTGATCAAAGCAGACAATCAGTATCACCAGACTCAATTTTGAAAAAAAAAACCACTTTTTGAAACCGAAAATTTTAAAGCTTGAGAAAATTTGAAACTTGGAAATTTTTTTATTTAAAAAAAAAAAGAATTTTTTTCAATTGAACATTTTTAGAATAAGGATTACAGACTCCAATTAAAGTAATCGAACACCATTTGACAATATAACATTTGTGAACCTCTAAATATTTTTTTTGAAACTTACAACTTTCATTCGTGATATTCGAATACTGATTACTATTGAATACTGTTCCAGTGGTCAGTATTCGCACAATGATCAGAATCATTCAAGTGATCACCGATTTTGAAACATTATGTATGAACAGGAAATCGTGGATTTAAAGCCAAAAATGTAAAAACATTCTTGCTAGGGAGTGTATTTTAGGATAGGTCTCGATTACATGGGTCCATCAAAAGTACTAGACTCAATTTGAACTTCTAAGCTTTTCGGAACCGTAAAATGTTAGAGCTTGATTTGAGATGTTTAGAAATCGGAAATTGCAAGTCATTTATTTTGCTGTTGGCTTAGGTTCAGTTTCATATCCTAGAATTTTGAAAGTTTGCATACTATCCATCAAATACAAAATTGTATTCATCTTCTTTCAATATATTTCTGAAACAGCAAGATTTTCAAAATATCTCGTCCATTCTATATGATGCTCCTCACAGTCCTTGTGCATATTTTGTATACACTCTTGTTTGAGTTTGTGCTCGAAACTTTCTCTCTGTCTCCTATCTCTTATCATCTACATTATCATCAATTTCTTTTTTCCTTATCTCTCTCCGTCTCTCCAACTCACTTCCCATATACACATGTGACTCTTCCAAAAATCGTATTCCAGGTTTCCCCCACTTCCCCCACCGCCAAAACGACGTCTACACTGGTCATGGAATTCTTTCGTGCGCCGCCTCAAACGGCACTGTTTCCAGTGACGTCGGCAGCGTTTGTCACAGCTGCTCTTCAACAATCATCGCCTTCGAATCTTCCAATTATTCCATCACCAACTGATATCATCACTACAGCCACATCCACATCTCCAGTGCCAATCACAACGTCATCATCACCTCCATGTCTTCCGATGTTCTTGAATTTTCCAAGTACATCAACAACAACCAGTATTCTGATGGATACTGTATTGGCTGCTCAGAAATTGAACCAACAGCAACAAGCAGCAGCTGCAGTGGCGGCAGCAGCAACAGCAGCAGCGACACCAAATCCATTCAATTTTTTGGTTGTGAAGCAAGAGAATCCACTTCCAGTCATCGCCAATCCAGCCAGTTCTCCACCCCATGTAATTAAGGTGAGTGTTTTGAGATTTTTGAATTTTCAAAATTTAAAGAAATTGAAATTTGAAAAAGAAGCCCAGTCATACTCAAGTCAGGTGAAGTTGAAAAGTCAAATGCTGGAAAAAATGTTGCAAAAAACGTTGATTGCTCAAACGTCAGAGCTCACAACTAATAATAAATTCTTGTACAGTTCTTTGCCATAGGCTTTATGAATTTTATATAGTTTTGTTTAAACTTTTGTAACAAACTTTGAAAGTATAAATCTAATGAAATCAATCTGAAGAAGTTCAACATATTGTTTTGAATTTTTTAAAGAATTGGGATCAAGAGGCATAGACAGTCAATTAGAAAATTGAATGATTTGCAAATTATGAGACATTTTTTAAACTGTAAAATTTTAAATGTGTCATTTTCTTGTGATTTTCGAATTCCTACCGATTTTATTTTAACTGAATTTCTAAAGCTGGATTTTATGGTCCTGTCTAAAAAACAATTATTCAAAAAACCTTTATCATCACTACACATTTTTTGATACTTTGATGCCTTCCCGATTCTTCACATTTTTATCACAACTCGATTCTCTATTCTCTTCTCTTCTCGTTTTTCCATTCCAAACGGAATGATTTAACGCTCCCGAAAGGTTGAAAAGAATGAAAGAGCAATGACGTCCTATTCCAAATTCAACCACATTTCTAGAATTTTCCTGCAATTGCTGCATACTGCCATGTTCTGTGATCTATGTTCTTCCCTCTTTCCTAAGTCTTGTGAAATTTTCCGGTAAATTTGAGTCTAATATCCGAAACTCGTAGTGTCTATTAGCTTTAGAATGAAGTTTAGGAGTAATACGAATTCTTACTTTTTGAACCCGATCTTTAATCTATACACTTTTTGCTCCGGCTGCATCAATACAATTATTAAAATTATTACATACGCCCCAAAAATGGAGCATACACACAAATTTCCGAAATTCGACAGTCCTATGATGTTTGTTCTTTTCTTTTCCATCTCTTTTACTACAAAAATGATCAGTATCAATGAAACAAAATGTCAACCGGAAATGTATTTATGTCTAAAGTTTCGAGTTCACATGGTTTTCACAATTTCGGGAAAAAAGTGGTTGATATTTGCACACTGGTACAGTGAGCAAAAACATGAGACTTACTCATTGTTAATGAAAAATGAAACAGAAACATTGGAATCAGGGACTTACAGTGGATAGCTGGAGCTGCACTAAAGTCCTAAAATTTTTTACAGAAAATGTAGATTTGGAAACTGAAAAAAAAACATTTTTTGTGCCAATTGTTTGGTTGAAGAGCATAAAAATAGATCAGGATTTTCTAGAATTATACATATAGATTCAATTTTTTTTTAATGTTTGACAAATCCGAAACTCGAAAACCATCAATAAAGCAAAACGATCTATGAATTGCATTTACCGTATTCCCCCCTAATAGAAACTCACCCAATCCGACAACTTTGAGCTCACATATCTCGATTCCTGTGAAAGATATCAAAAATTGCCAACTGATAAAATATTGGTGATATTATGATAAACATTTGGTCAGTTTATTACTTTTTGATATCTTTGACAGTAATCTAGATATTTGGGCTCTAAGTTTACAGCTTGGAGTATGCTTCTATTACACTGTATTCCATAGAAAGTTATCTAAAATTGCTTCCAGAAGACAATTTTTCTAAAACCGTTGATCTTGAAAATAAAGGATCCAGTTTTTTATAACTTCCTTCTGATTTTTCCCCAACTTCAATATTGACTCCTATGTTTTCTTTAAACATGATTTTTCAACAAGAAATTTCATGAGGATTAATATACCCAAATTTTCCATTATAATCATAACTTTCCGAAACAGAAAAAAATATGGATTTATTTTTCACACAAGATAAATGTTTGGACTTGATTTTGTTATGCCTACGTAATCGAATCCATACGTATCCTGGCTCTATTCTTTTGACCCCTTTCTGCTTCCACCGCCCTCCGTTTTTAGAGCTTCCTGGTCTCACTGATCTTTTGTGTTGGTTTTCAGAGATCCAGACTTTGGATTTTACTTCCTTCTATGTAGATTAAAATCCCTAGATGTTTTGGTATGTGTGTCCAAAGTTCGAAATTTTGAAAAACATTGAAACAAGCCAGTACAGTATGTACTTCGATAAACTTTGTGAATCCCTTGACATCCATAACTTTCTATTCACTCCATCATCATCAACAATTTCAAAATCCATTCACTACTTTTTGTACGGGAAAACCCAATCGGAAGAGTGTAGTATTTCCACTCTTGTCCACCTCCTCCTAACGACTCATTATGTTCATTTCCTCAATTCATCCATGAAATCTTTTTGGCCACTTTCTGCCCGATTTTCTATTTGTATGTACCTCGCGTTCTGTATGTTTCGGTTTTCGAGTGGATGTTGCTAATTTTCTCGCTCAACTTTTGAGCGATGCCTATAGGTTGGGAGTGACCCAATTTACAAGCTTCATTCGTTATGTGAAGAAGAACCGGAAAATGAGAAAAAGAAGAAGACTATTAAAAATTAACACAAAGATTGGAGATCAAAACACAGCGATAATTTTTGAAAAATTCAGAAATCTTGAAAGTTTGCTTTTAAAATACTATTTTTTCGAAATTCTGCTAATCGTACTGTGGAGTCTATTTTGTCCACGTATGGCAATTCGGTATCAAAAAATTTTCAGTTTTTGTGATTTTGCACATTCATTCAGTGGTTTAGTAACTTTTTGAATTTTTACTCGTCACAAATAATGCAATGACTTCAAATCACCATATTCCTCTAATAGAAGGCCACCGCCAACTTTGGCCACCCAAACCTCCCACTTCGAGCTCATATATCTCGGTTCCAGTCAAAGATATCAAAAACGTGTCAACTGATAAAATATTGGTGAGATTATGATAAACATTTTGTCCGTTGACTACTTTTTGTTATCTTACACAGATATCGAGATAATTCAGCTCAAAACTGGCGGTTTTTATTGTCTTCTATTAGTGTTTACGGTATCTGAACATTTACTAGCCAGATACCAGAAACTAGACATTACCCAAAAATAACTGTTTCATTTACTGTAAAAATGATATTTTTCAAATGGTTTCCCTAATTCGATCTCGAAATTAACCCCCAGAAATGTTCCTACGAACAAGTATCATTTTCGGAACATTTTGAGTTTTGCTGTCCGATCCCGCTATCATTTGGGTTAATAGACCCAAATCGCTTCCGCAAATACGCACCCAACAAAACAAAAACTCAAACAAATGTTCACCCGAGACCATCGCGATCCATTTATCCACCTTTTTGTCTCTGTGATAACGTGCGCATGGCGTGTCTACTTACACCATAGTTCAAAAAAACGTCTGCGTCTCTCCACCCAACACACTCTTTCATCACCCATCTCCGTGTGCTGGCTGCAACATAGAAAAATGTAAACTTTAGGGTCGACTCTCCCTCTCTCTTTTCATGTCATCAGCCTCTTCTTTTCCCACTTTTTTCTGCTGATTATTCTTGCCTCTCTCTCGGATTCCCACGCTCTCTGATCAGGCTTCATACACGTCTGCGTCTCTGCCGGTGAGAGATTCCTATGCACTTCTCTTTCTCTATCTCGCCTTTTTTTTTCTTTTTTCCGAACCGCCTTTCCTCTCTCTTCTCTTCATCATTTTCTTTTTCGATCTTTCTTTTGTCCAACCTGATCATTTTTCGGTCTTCGTATCAAAGGATCGCATGCACTTTTTCATCTCAAGTCGTTTACCCTCGGAGCAATTTTTGTCATGGTCATTTGCTAATAAGCTCTAAATTGTGACTTCAAATGTCTTATTACATTACATTTTCGAATCAGAATGAGTATAATCTAGCCAATGTACCTGTAAGCATAATGTAGAAAGGGTTGTATTGTGCACCTATTTGGTTTGGGTCTCTCACCTAGACACACTTTATGGGTACTGTACTTCTTTAAACCACATTTATGACTCCCATGAAAAGTTTAAATATTTTTTGTGGTTCGAACTGGTTCCCTATTTTGTCAAAATATAATTTTCTTAACCCTATCCATGACAAATTTGTGTCAAAAATTTTCAAGCCGTTTTGTTTTAGTGATCGGCCAAAGATCATTTTTAGAATCAATGGGATTAGACTGAGCAAAATAGGCATCATAATAACAATAACATTATATTGAGCACAATACACATATTCAGTTTTGCCACGTGTTATCCCTCTCTCCTCCTACGGTGTGTATTTTGTGATATGTAGGTCTGTTTTAGTTTGCTCAGACCGCTTTGTGCTCCCGTTTCTCTGGCTCTTATACATAACACAAAAGAGAAATGAAGACAAATATCTCTCTGCGTGTCTGCTTCTCTTCCGGTTACTCATAACTATCTTTCTTCCTCTCTCTCTCTCTCTCTCTCTCTCTCTCTCTCTCTCTTTTCTTTTCTTTCCCTCTACATGTTTCATTTTGAGCACAAAATGTCGCAAAAACGTTTCATGTTAGAAATGTATATAAACATATAAAGAGACGGACGGAAAAGTGAGAACGAAGTGAATAAAAAGAATACGGGGAAAAAAGGACAAATAAGGTCGAAAGGAGAAGAGTGTAAAGACCACCCGAAAGAAGAATGAAAGGAAAGAACTGAATGAAAGGAGTTTGGTCTTTTTCCTCGAGTTTTTCTTTTCTTTGGTGCGCGGGAAGAAGAAAAAAACCGAAAACTACAGATGTTGCAAACAGAAGTGGGTCCCCCTCCCCCCTATACGTCACATCCTTGAGTGTGAAAGCGTGCGAAAATGACGGGACTACGCCTTTTTTTTCAAGAGTATTCTATTACGGTGATGACTGAGAGACAAGTACGCCACACTTCCAGACTTTTTCAAAATTTTTCAACTATAGTTTAATGCACCTAGTTTGGTTTTTGATGCTTTTAAAATAAATAGCGAAACGTCTTCAAGTGGATCATCTTCAAGATAGACCCTAGTTTGAAGCCGTGTGTTTTGGTTTGCTTGAAACATGCAAACTTTGCGTATTTCGAGAAAGTAAACTGAAAGAAATTCAGCCAAAAATGTTTCTTTTTTGCAAATTTCCAAGACGCAAGGTTTTTCCAATTTTTTTTGTTCCAAAACGCTCATGTCCGACTTTGTTAATTTCCTTCAAAACCCACTGCTTAAGAGAAAAAAACAACTAAACCTTTTTTTGCAGAATTGAAATTGACAAACTGAAACAGAAAAATAGAAAACCGTAGATAAAAGAAAACCGTTTTCCTCTAATAGAAGCCCAGTAAAGTCGTCAACTTTAAGCTCAATTATCTCGATTCCTGTAAAAGATATCAAAAACTGGTACACTGATAAAATATTTGTGGAATTATGAGAAACATTTCATCAATTGACAAATTTTTGATATCTCTTACAGGAATCGAAATAATTGAGCTCAAAGAATATCTAATTGAGCGTCTGCACGCACGTGGGCGTATCTCATCTCCCAGTGGTCGTAGGACTTTTTTTTCGAATTTTGACAGAAAAACTTGAAAGATTCTTGTTCTTGACCAAAGAATAGACATTTTTGACAACTTGATGTGCACTTTTTGTGCACACTTGACTCAAGATACAATTTTTGATGTTCTAGGTTTTTGTTGTGGATTTTCGATGTTCTAGTTGTCAGCCTACTGTACCCATGCATAATCAAATAACAACAAAAACACGGATTACCATTTTTCCAGAAAAAAACATTTATAATGTCTGACTTCTTTTTTTCTTTTCCTCTCTATCAGTAACGTATTCTAGAAAACCGGTTCTTGTTCTTTTTAGATAGAGTAGCGTGGTCGTTTTTTCTCTCCGTTTTCGTTTTTAACGCCTCGTCTCAATTGATATGTAGTCGAAAACGAAACAAAATGACCATTTTCAAAGTTATTCTTTCCTTTTTTTTTTACTTCCTTTTACTTTTTTCGTTTTTTCTGACTGCTTTCAGAAAGATTTCAGCTGGTACAAAGTACACCTTTGAAAACCATCTGCTCTAATGAGATATTTTCAGGCATATGCGGCCATATACGGCTGAAAATGTCAAAAACCACGCGAAATTCAGTCAACAAGTTGTTTTGTTATCTCTCACCATCTTGAAATTTTGCGCCTCTGGTGCCTAATGACTGTGACATCATACCTGGGATCCCTCTAGGGGGAGGTAAATGAATCGAAGATTAGTTAAATAGTTGATTTCTTGATACCTCTGGATTTGCATTCACCCATTTAGTATACGTCGATAATTTGAAATTCTGAGTCTTTGCGTTTTCTGGAATGTGAGGGTGGCTGAAAATGATAGATTTCTAGCATTTCAAATATCACAAGTCCTCAGTAAAGGTAGAAGGACATTTTTTTTACTTCTTGCAGGAAAAAAAAATATTTGAAATTATTTTTACTGATACAAATTGTTGTCAAGTTATCAATTTTTAGTTTTCCTTAATAAAGAAATATGTGAATACGCCGAACTGCTCTATCGAATTTCCGCCAAAACCGCGATCTCCAAGCTACTTTTTATGAAGTGCTGAATTTGCATTCATGGCTGAAGTTTGAAAAAAAATTGCATCTGAAAGATGGCGGGACATGAAAAAAACTTTCTCGGAATTTTGTTCATATTAGCCTCCCGATGAGTTGAACCTGTGGGACATATATTGGAGTTTCGGCGCAGCTTTCGACTGAGCCACGCGGACGAAGCTAAAGCGGTCGCCGACAGCTGTACGCAGAGTGAACAGCCTTGTACACCGTTAAAGCTAAGTTAAGAATTCCACTAAGCCTTGTACACCGTTAAGCAAAAATGCATACCGTACCTCTAAAAAATTCTCCTATCCCCCTTTAAATTTTGAAGTTTTCGAAAATTCTATACTACTATGTATCCTTATTATTTCCAAACTCCAACATGAGAGTCCAAAATGAATCAGCTGCAGTTTTCCGGTTTTCTCTCCCACTCATTAGGCTGTGCACTGAGCCCTAAGCTTCCCTCTCCTTTTCCACCTTTCCACATTTCCAACATTTCTTCTTCCTCTTCTTTTTTTCAATTCATCTTTTTCGTTTTCACTCTATTTTTGCAACACTTCTTCTTCCTCGTCTTCTTTTTCTTCAATACTCATAATATGCGCATACATTGAGAAAACATCCTTTTTCCTGACAAATAAGGGGCATTTGCAAGGACGGCACTACTTCAGGTGGTGGCCCTTTTTCTTTAAGGTTTTGTGTCCTTTTTCTCGGTGTTTATATTCTTCGCTCCGACGAAAAAGAAAAGAAATTTTCTCGGGAGTGACCTGAAGAGAGTGTAGCGTTGACGATGAAACTACATTCGGACGAAAATCTCTGGGTCCCGCCGTCTTATACTTCTGCAAAAGAAGCTTCATCTTCATTTTCTTCTTCTTCCATTCGTCGCGCTTCGAATTACGCTTTGTTTGCGCCTTCACCCTGAGCTCCTATAGGCTTCGGAGCCCCGAAATTTGAGAACAACATAAGCTCTTATTGCTCTTTGTTGTGTAGGAATCTTCTTCTTTTTGACCTTTTGTCAGAGCAATGCGGATCGTATAGACTAAAGATGTGTTTCTTTTTGACCTATTTTGTATAGCTTTGTGGTTTTTTTCCCTTAAAAAAATCCAAAGTTTTGGGATTGAAACATTCTGCGATACCTGACAACTAAAAAACTGATTTATCACTTGTCTCTGTTTTTCGAAACATCTTTTCCTCCATCGGTTCTGCCCGTTTTGTTCCATTCGTTATCGCAAAGTATGTTTCCAATCTCTTTTCATGAAAAGGCCAGATCGATATCGCCAAATTTCTACCTTCACACTCTTCCATTGAAACTATCCTCCCTTCTTCGCCCCTCAAAACATTGACTCCCTCATATCCTACCTCTTATATTTGTTCCTTCTCCCGTTCGAATCAATTAACCAAACAATGTCTATGACGACCTGCTCGTTTAGATGAAAAGCGAGTGGTCCACCAATTTCTTCCATCAATCTCAAACACCCAATCCTTATCCGCCAATGTCTGGAGGTGGCGGAGGACCACAACCATCTCATTCCAGTGGCAATTCTTCATTTTTCTCATCTCCCCCTCCAATGAATTCTTCCCATCAATCCCATCAGTCACCCATGAGCCTTCATCAATCGATGCCTCTTCTGCAAAGCCCTCTGAAGACGTCGCCGAGGAGTGAGGCAGAATCCACGTCGGCACCTAATTCAGTTGGCCATGTTATCAAGGCAAGAATAAGAATGACTGGGCTTCTAAAATTGTTTAAACAAAAATCTATAAAAATCCTAATTTTACAATTCATAATATAATTTATTTCCAGGGAGAACGATGTGTTGGGTGCGGAAGCGACTCGGCCATCCGCGTTCACTACGGAGCCAGCTCATGTCACGGATGTAAAGCATTCTTCCGTCGATCAGTATTCGAAGGAAGGGTTTATATGTGCTCGGCTGAGAACCAATGCGATATTACCAATGGTGAGTTGTTTGCAACAAAAATTCTGAATGTTTCTTCCTATTGATGAATTTTAATCCTTCAAAAAAAATCCAATCACTCAATCTATAGGTACCGTATTTCCTCTAATTGAAGCCCATGGGCTTCTATTTTTCAACCTTCTCTTCAGAAAGTTACCAAAACCTGAAATTACCAGAAATTTTATAAAATAGAAAGAAAATGTCTACAATAACCGAATAGACGAGCTGAACTGTTTGAACAGCACTAACTGAATTGCATGAACTTTAATTAGAAGGTGCGCTTCTATTTTTTATGGAGGGTAGGCTTCTATTTGAGGAGTGTTTCAAATAGAGGTGAGCTTATATCAGAGGAAATACGGTATTCAAAACTTTCTCGATTTGACCCAATTCCTAATTTTATCTCAAGATTTCAAAATTTACGGCAAGTAGCCCACAACAATTCTCGTACGACTTTGTTCCCTTATTTTATCGATGTGTTGAAATCTCCGCGCAAAAGTACAGATGGGCAAATTCGGAGAATGCAAAAACATGATAAAATCTTAAAATCGGGATTGAATATCCATTTGGAACTTTTTTATTCAAACCTGAGCGTCCCAAACAAATTCAATGAAAGTTTGAGTCATAAGTTTCTGGTAATGATACTGTAAACACTCTAATAGAATGACCCACTAACTTTTAACTTTGAGCCAATTCATCTTGATTCCTGTGAAAGATATCAAAAAGTGGTCAACTGACAAATTATTTTTAATATTATGATAATCTTTTTGTCAGTTGACAACAATTGCCCGCGGTATGTCCGGGGTATCAGGTTCCTGTGATAAAATAGAAGAAAATCAACAAGAAATGTAACAAAATCGGTTTATTATGAACAAGTTAGAAAGAAACAACAAATAAAAGCTTAGAATTCAAGCAAACTCACTTGAAATCCTTAAAAGAGTCCCTAGAACAACCACGAGTCAAATCCAAACTCGCAATCACTCAAAACTAAATTTTTTAACTGCGCGCGCGCCGAGCGGTATAGCGGAGTGTCGTTGCGTGGGTAGAGGGAACCTTTAGAAGGGGTTGGAGGGTAGATGCACAAGGCAACTCAACTTTATTATATCTTTGACAGGAAATAAGATATACGAGCTTAAAGTTGACGGCTTTGGTGGAATGCTATTAGTGTCTTTGATAGTTCCAATTTCATGACAATTTTCTGGTGCACTGGAAAAAACTAAAAAATAAATCCTGATGCACTTTTTGACTTTCTCGGACGTCAATCCTTTTTGTCCTCTGACTATTCCTTCACCACTCACCTATATCCATTTTTCAGAATCCCGTAATCGGTGTCGTGCCTGCCGTCTCCGTAACTGTCTCGATGGAGGAATGAACCCAAAACACGTCAGAGAAGAACGCTCGAAAATCGAAAGAATGCCTGGAAACACGTGCACCGTCTCAGCCACAAACGGAGTAACTCATAATGTTCCAACTACATCTGCCGCCAGCCCAATTATGGAAGTTAAATATTCCGCTACTCTTGCCTCTGCTCTTTCCTCTGCTTCATCCTCTACTCAAGCTCCTTCAACTTCTGAATCCAGCTTTACGTCATCTTCCGTGTCACAACCAGCTCCAGTTGAATCCACAACGTCATCTGGATCAGAAGCGGAGGTTGTTGATAAGAAGACGTTGCAAGAGAATCCACTGACGCTGTTCATGTGTGCGCTGGAAAAGCAAACTGAGCAATTGAAGGATGAAGATGTCAAGGATAATGATGTCATGGGAGCGTGGAGTCGGGATATAAGCCTGACTTTTGGTCTTCAACACCCACAAATGGTCATTAAGAGATTACCGGTGAGTGGGTTTTGAATTTTAAATTCCAAATTTAGAAAGAGAAATTTGCATATAAATTGAAGAGAGATCTTTGAAGGTCTTGCAAGATCTGCAAATTAACAAACTAGAAACAAAGAATATAATTTTTAGATCATGTACACATGCGATCGGATAATGGAGGCTGCGGATCTCTACCTTTCCTGGTACCGATCATTCGTTTTTTGTGCCGATTGGGCCATGGGAATCCCGGAATTCCGTGTACTTCCACTTGCCGATCAGACGACGCTTTTTAAGCAGAACTTCATGGCATTTGGATGGATCACATTCGCTTATAAATGCTTTGATTTGAAACAACATAAAATTGGAATCCCCCTTGGAAATGGATCATTCATTCCGTATAACGACGAGGATCAAAAGCAACTTCCAGAACGATGGGCTCAAACTTACGGAGTTGTTTGCAAAAAATTGATTGACCTGATTGTAAAAGTGATGATTGAATTGCAAATAACCGAGGAAGAGTATTGTCTCATCAAGACTATTTCACTGTTCCAACAAGGTAATCAACCTAGTGGATGAGAAAGTAATTAATTAATGAAAAAATTTCAGACTGCATTCTCTCCGAAACGGGTGCTGGAATCTGCACCAGAATGCGTGATCGTCTTCTAGATGCACTGTCGACTCATATCGAGAGAAAGTTCCCATTCCAGACTCAAAGTCAACGGTTGACAAGAGCACTGAAGATTTCGCTGATGTTGCCTAGCTTTTCGGTAAGTTAATGTTCCCAATTTTCCCATCACATTTTTTTTAATTTCAGCACATTGGTCAAGTGGAATCCACACTGATCCAACAGCTCACCGCCGCAGATCTCCACCAACTCAGCGGAGTCCCAATGGAAATTTGTCATGCCCAACAGTCGCTTTAGGTGCCAAATCTCTGTCTTTTCTTTCCAACTCATCCAATCTCTGTGATTTTTTCTATCCCCTCTCTCTCTCTCTCGTCTCTCCCAAATCGTGTGATTCTTTTCTAATGCGGGTTTGAATTACAAAAAAGATATACTATTTTCTAGAACCACCTTGATCAGTCCTCCCCATGTTTTCCTCACTTTCCAATCTGTGATTACTGTGACTATCCCGTTCCGATTCCCAAAATCCCAACTCATCGCCCAATTTTCGTTTTAGATTTAAATCAGATATTTCTTATTTATTACGACTTGTATGTACTTTGTGTATTCTTTCTCTCATGGCTTTATTGATTTTCTCTTCAGCTTACTTTCTTTTGTTTCGTTTTTCGATTGAAATATGAATCAGTTTTTTTTTAATTTTTTCTGGAATTGTCGTCAGATAAGCATCCTAGAATTCACATAAAGCAAGCGGAAATGAACTTTCGGGTCTCAACTTTGAAAAAAACACTCATAAAATTTCTGTTCTGAAGATTTTGAGATTGCGAGAGACTGTTTTGTTCTGGAATACGTTTTGGATGCAAAGTAGATAGAAAGAGAGAGGGAGGGAGAGAGAGAGAGAGAGAGAGAGAGAGAGAGAGGGAAAAGTCCTCATCCATTCGAAATAATAAGACATCAAGAAGAGTTTTGATACCGATCACCTTGTTCTTGAGGAGGAATTCGGCTTCGGAAGCTACTGCCACTTTTCTTTTCGTTTTTCAGAAGCAGACACATATTTCACTATAGGAATACCGTAAAATCTGTATTAGAAGGGCCCTCTAAGAGGGGCTTGGAAAAATATAATCGTCTTCCTTATTTCTCTTTTTTTTCACATTCTTCCAAAAAAAATGAACACTTTTTAGTTTGAATTTTTTGACTTTAAAAATTTTGCAAACATAAAATACCACTTAAAAGATATCCTTCCAGTGTCAATACCACCAAAACTCGTTCATCTCTGCTAAACGTGTCTTCGGCAAAAAATGTACATAATCTCATCGGTAGCCAAGATGTGCATTGGTACTTACAAGTTTTTGGGTTGGTGAATTTTTTTAATGAAGTCAAAAGTACCAAAACTTTTTTTCACTATTTTCAAACATTTTCCCACAAACTTTCTTATTGTATCGTTTAAACGCTCTGCACACTGTCTCTGTAGGGTTGTTTGTACACATTCAACCCTTCAAATGTGATTCTACCAGCAATATACAACACCAACGTTATCAGTTTTCCTCTACTTCTCTGGGTCTCAACCCTATTATTCACAATTTATTGTACCAATTCACCCGAGTTAGCTACTAAATAAACATATTGAAATTGAGCATTTGCTAGATCGATTGTTATTGAACCCCACATACATCTTCAACTATTAAGAAATGAGATTCAAAAATCATCTTCTGGTTTTCTGTGCTGGAGCAATTATATTCACAATTCTTATAATAAGTCATGGAATTTATAGCTTTGATAGTTCTGTCATTTTAATAGATGAAAAATGGCAGAAAATTATACAGAGAAGACAGAGAGAAGTGGTGAGATTTTCGCTATTTTTAAAATCTTATATGACTGAAAATTCCAGAACGAATCAGTCGGATGTCATGATTTTCTGGATAAGCTGAAAACCAAAATTCCTGTGTCCGTGTTATTGATAGATTTGACGATTTTGGAATTGATTGGAAAAAGTAAATGTGATCAATTGAAATTGTATGAAACGCCAATTGAGGTATGTTTTTTGAATATCATTATTCCGGTACAATAAAAATTGGAGCAGTGGGAGAGAAACGCTGGTGGCCGTGGTCGAAGGTTCCACAACGATAACTACCGACTAGTAGTCGGCGACTACTCTCGGAATAATATCTCAGCAAAAGGAAGAAATTAATCTAATAGGAGATTCAAATGTTCTTTGAAACTTAACTAATGAATAAAACAGGGATTACTCTGCTAGAGATGAAAATAAAATTTCAGGTAGCTACCAGCATCAGGAAAGATTTAAACTTCATTCCACGAGACCTATTCCAGCCATTTTTCTTCGAAGTCAACCAACAAAAAGACTACCTGGAATTAGACACAAAACCGAGACGAATTATTCCAAAGTGAACACTTGTTGTAGTTTCGATATTCTTGTTTAATTTTTCTTACAGAAGTTTCGAAACGGTGAAGTTTGGAAACTTGGCAGTTCCCTTGAAGCCATTCAGGTTTCGAAAGTTTTGGGAGAAATCCAGACTTATCGAATGCTCAAATAGTACAGTACACCGGAAAGAAACGGATAAAAAAAGGAAGATCAATTTGGAGTTAGCCGTTTTCGAGTTATCACGACTTCAGAATCTGATGATCCAATATGATATGTTTCCATTTATCAGTGAGGGCACTTTACTTGGTGAGCATTTCATTCTTTAAGAAATTTACAGTTTCATGAATGAAGTAAACACCTAAAACTATCATAGTTCATTAAATAAAGCAATCTTGTTTCTATTTCAATCCTCAAGGTTTTTTCCAGGCTGGTACCGAGAATGCTCCATCATTCCTCATACCCAGGACATTGACATCTCCGTGTTTGCTTCTGAATTCAATCCGAAGTTTGTCGATGATATGAGAAGCGGAAGATCCATTTTTAGGTTGAGCAGGAGACTAGGAAAAGTGAGATTTTTTCATGTTCCAATTAAAAACGATTACAGTGGGTAAAAAATTCTTAAATTTCAAACATTTTGAAACAGCAAACTATGACTTGAACGCTCAAAATTCTTGCGCGTTCTGCTCAATTATCTCAACCTCTGTAAGAGCTATTAAAATGTTGCAAACATTGAAAGTCTTAGTGATACTGTGGAAAACATTTATCAGTTGACACACTTTTGATGCCTTTTATAGGAAGCGAGATGAATTTTAATAGTAAAGGATTTCTGGTTATATTTTTTCAACTGAAAAGTTTAAAGTTCTTTTTGATTGTCCGATTCTGGAATTTTCCTCTTCCTCAAATAAAATTCCTGTACTAAATTGAATCTATAAAACCACTGAAAATCAGCGATCTACCGTTTAGAAACTAATCCATCAAAAAAGCAAGAGATCGATAATATTTTTATAGGAATCCCGATTTCTAGAATTTTTGCTGTTTCAAACAATCCATAAAGAACTCAAAAACTATTTTATACTCGGATTTAAACTTCTTCTTTATGGTATCAAAAACACAGTACAAATCTTGGGCGGCGCTATCTTTATAATGGGGACTTGAAAATGTCAAGATTGAAAAATCGATTCCGGATATAATTTCAGCTGGACGCACTGGAACTGACTGTAGCTCCACGACAGGGATATCATGTGAACATGGATATATTTTTGATGTATCAAGAGACAAATGAAACGACTGAGATTGATTTCAACTGGATTTCAGGGCTGAAAGGTGCGTTTTGAGTTTTCAAATAAACTCAGACCTCAGGAATGATTGGCAACTGACGAAGTTTTTTTTAAAACAATTTCACTGAAACTGTAACATTTTTCAGGCGACGGAGAACGTCTCCGCTATCATTTCCCATTATTCGAGCCGATTTGTTCAGCAGATCTATTGGGACATTTAGTATGGACCACCTGTGACCCAGAAAAAGCAATAATCCACGAATACGGTGAACGATGGTTTGAAGACATCCCAACAAAAAACTACAGTTGGTTCGAATCAGTTTACAATGTACAACGAAATGTGGAATGGTATTCGAATTGGGAATTGAGTAAAATTAAATTTGAGGATGGGTATCCGACAAAGTGAATGCGGGTGTTTAATAACTTGATTTGGGAGATTTCATAATATTTTACAGCTTTATAAAATCATTTTTTATTTATTGTCTCTATGAATCATGGAAAAAACTCTGAAAATTGACAAGTAAAATCTGGAATCTTCGTGATTTCTCCCGATTGACGAGACTTCTCAATATCCAACACAGAATTGACTCCGGTTTGCATCCAAACTGTTGTGAATCTGAAAAGAGAAACGGTTTTTAAAAATGGGATTTGGAGATTTTCTGCAACTTTGTACATTTGATAAATATTTTTTGCCCTTATTTTATAGGAATCGAACAATGGGATCTAAACCTTGACAAGAAATGTAATTTTTCTTAATGATTCGATAATTCTAGCTCTTTTCTCACCCGCGAATATAATTTTCATTTTTCACGTTAACCAAGCTATCCAATTACTTTTTCTGGTTTGAGTGCCAAAAACAATAGTTTTGAAACGGAAAAAATTAGCTAAACTTCAAAACTAACCCATTAGTCTTCCCAAACATCATATCAGTATCCAGTCGGTCTCCGAACATCACTGTTCTTCGTGCATCAAACTTTTCTGGATTCACACGAGATTTCAAAAAATTAGCCATCTCTTTGTGCGGTTTTCCAAAAATAATATCCGGTTTTCTTCCGGACACATTCTGAATTGCAGCGGACCATGGTCCTGTTTCCGGGAGAATCATTCCAGGGACAGGACCAGGGAAAGTAGTGTCTTCGTTGCAAACTAAGAATTCCACAGATGGATCGGATAGGAAGTTTGCGGCTTTCATGAGTTTTGGGTAGCTGTAATGGGAAGAGTTTATCCATAATGGTGGTTTTTCTAGAACAGAACAATTAAATTTTTAAACTCCTAAAAAATACCTGAAATGCGAATCGAAGCTCACAACCACCGCTTTTGGAACTTTCGATGTTACATCCACTTCATTTATAAAATCTCCGTCCTTCACATAATCCTCCTTTAGATCCGGGCCCGTTCCAAAACATTTGACACCACTGAATTGTTCCAAACTCGTTTTTAAATTCTCCACTCCAATCAAATAGATCCATTGATCTTTGAATTTCTTTGTATTCCGTTGGAAATAATCACACAAAACTGTGGCACTTTCCAAGACGACCAAATACCATTTTTGTTACTTTTTGCCTGGAATTTTTTTTTGAAATTTTTACTCTCAGACGGGATGAAAACCCATGCCGGCGGGAAAAAGATAGTTTTCGTGTGGCGAACACGCCGCAGGAGAAATGGTTTTTTCAGGCCGGCAAGGTTTTTTGAAAGTCACGCCGGCATGGAAAATTCTTTTCAAATTCTCCTTCCCCCTTCCCTCCCTTCGAACCACATCTGATAAATAAAAAAACACAATATTTATTGAAGAAAAACGATTAATAAATAAGTTACATTTTCAAAAAATTATAAAAATTAGGGAATGCCATATCTAGTTGACAATTGGTGAAAAGCGTATAGGAAAGAAAAAGGAATGACCGTTATATTCAAATGAGAGAGCGGGAGAAATGATATCGCTTGTAGAAACTAAAATCAAACCGGATAGATTCATAACTTTACCAATAAGAGAATCGAATGTATCTTATGCAGATCTGATTTGTTTGGCTAAACTTAAGAGATGGCGGGGAATTTTGGTTATGTCTAACCGATTAGCGATATCCAAATGATCCAGTTTCCATTTAGACGAAACCTTCATATTTTCTGTGACGGACTTTGCAGAAGGAAATCTAGAAAAGTTTTAATATTTGACGATCTCAACTTATGTGTTTCACCGAATTGAGGAGCCAGATTTTAAGTCGAATAACGTTTCTGCCTTCCCTTATTTCAATTGGTTACCACTGATAAACTTCAGCTGTACGTTGGAGAATCCTCCAGTTATTCCTGAACCTGTAAGTTAAAAATGAGACATTCAGAATATTTCCTTGACTATCTCGAAATCTTCGTGGAGTCGATGCCATATCTTTTAAAATTCTAAAAATTTGAGATGTTAAACAATCAAAAAAACCCGATTTAAAACGAAAAACAATTAAAATTCATTAAAAAATAATCCGACATTTCGGAGCATCGTATCCATGCCGGCAGATAATCTTTCTTCCCCTCACCATGCCGGCATGACTCTCTTTAACGCCGGCATGACTCTTTCTCGCCGGCAGGAAAAGTTTTCATGCCGAAACCGAAAATTCTCATGCCGACAACCCACTTCCTCGCCGGCATGGGTTTTCATCCCGTCTGAGCTGATACAAAATGTTGTCTAATGGTAAAATTACAGTTTTCCCTAATTGACAGGATAATGTTGATAAAACTCTTTCCAATTACTGCCAAAAGCTGCAATCAACAGGTAACTTTTAAGGTAGTCCTGAGTTTCAGATGAACCGATTTTTGTTCATTTACTTACAAATTCAGAAACTCTCAAAATAAGGATGTTTCAAATATTTTGGCAAAGTGTAACTTTGAAAATTTTCACTGTTTCCAAACTGTGTTTTCAAAAATCATGAAAATATTAGAACGATTTCATTTTCAACGTTGAAGATTTTCAAATTCACCTCACAAGGGAATGTCGTTCAGAAAGGTCTTCAGAATTTTCTCTAAATTTGCTCATTCATAATATAGAGTTGGGAATTTTTCGTGATAGTAGTGGTTACCTACAAAAATTGCTGCAATTTGAGAAAATCGATCGGAGGTCACGCCCGAGAAAAAAAAATCGGATCATGAGCCGAAAAATCTAGGTTATGACCCAAAAAAATCTAGACCATGACCCAAAAAATCTAGTTCATGACCCAAAAAAATCTAGGTCATGACCAAAAAAATCTAAGGCATGGCCTAGGAAAAAATAGGTCATGGCCTATCACCCAGGACTCAGGACCCAAGGCACAGGACCCTTGTCTCGGATCCCTCCCGCTTGCCCCTTCTCTGGAGCCCGGAGAAGGGGAAAACTGATTCTTCCCTCCACTTTCCTCTTCCTTTATAGTACTTTTCCTGAGGTCAATGGGACATCGAGGGTTGTGGTTTTTTATTCCCGGAGATTTTTTGAAACTATATTTTTTTTTATCCACCAATAAGTTTTTCATCACGTTTAAATAACTATCCAATTTTTACTTTAGAAATCTGTGAAACTCCTTAAAAAGATTTTTTCCTGTTTGAGTTATCAAAAAATGGTCAACTAATGAAATGTTGCCTATTTCAAGACGAACATTTTTGCTCTCATAAACTTTTTGATGTCTTGTACAAGAACCAGGATACATCGACGCAAAGACTCGCTTAAATCTCAAATTTTCAGACCGGTTTTTTTTCGCAAAAAAACCATTAATTTTTGAACAAGAATCATTTTATATTCAAAAACTCACATGTACTGTTCCAATGTCTTTGTTGAATTATTGGTAGTAATAAAAACACTCTTCTCTGGATCATCTAAAAGTGTATTGATCCATTGCGAAGCACCAGGTATCGGAATATCTCCTGTCCAGAGAACACCATCCGCATCGAATACAAATGTATCAAAATTCGCCAAAAGTTGGTTTTTCGTAATACTTGGAGGCAGCATTTTCAGTTAGGTAAGTTTCGAGGAAATGAAATTGTGGTCTGATCTTTCCTACGAAGTAACGAAGTACTTTGGGTACATAGAATGATAAGATAAGAGAGCAATGATAAATAGACGACATCATTGAACGTTTATTTATTAAATGAGAAAAAATTGAAAAGAAAAGAAGAAGTAGACAACAATGGCAAGATAGCCGATAATAATACAAAGTTCTGTGTGTTTCGGGAAAAGTAGGAGCACCAATTGTTGAGTTTTTTCGAATTTTCAACGAGTGAAAATAAGAGAGAGGTTTTGGTTCGTTTAGCTGGTTGCATCCTGAATTCGTCCGAGAAGCTCATTGAGCACACTGGTCAGAGAAACGGCCGTGTCGAGAGTCGTGATTGGGTTCTAGAAATGTTGTTATTAAAGTCAACATCGGAATAATTATTCTGACTCTAATGTTTATCAAAACTTTTTAAAACTGCAAAAAATTCAAAATTTCGGTTTTGTTTTTCTGTAATTTTCTGCGGAAATAGGTCAATTTTAGATTTTCCGAAAGGTTTTTTTAATTTTTTTAAATATTGATGGCAGTGTTGAGAGAATAATCTCCCGAAACATTTCTTTTTTTAGACATTTGAAGTTTAATTGAGAACATCAATAATGGTATGAAATTGAAAGCAAATACGGACAATTTTCTAATTCTAAAGTCTTCAAAATGTCTTCGAAACAGTAAAAAAAAGTTCGTTTTTTTTCTCAATAATTCACCTAACCTGTTCAACGGTGTCGTTTTTGAGATCGTCGAGCAGTTGGCTCGTCGTTTTTTGCGGCAAGTGCACTTTGATCATCAGCGTTTCCACGTCGGTATCTGCAAAAAAAAGACTCTTTATGACATGTGTCAAACCGTACTCCAGCGATAGAAGAGAGCTTTTTTTCGAATAACCTGAAGGATATCAATGTAAAAAATTGTTCACTGTTTCAACAATTCCATAAAACCGGAATGTTTTAAGAGTTCTAATGGAGTATCGTCCCTATAATCATTCTTATAATATAAAATGAAGTTGCTTCTCTTTGCCTGTATGTCCGCACAAAATTTTGATCCGTTAAAAAAAGTGAGGAACGGTGCGACGAACAGTAAAAGGAAAATATTGAATCACGCCAAAGGTGCTCCAGCCAGCTGTTTGCAGCGTCAGATATGCCACAGACGGGCTGATATATCATAACAAAAACTAACCAGTAACATTAATTGTTTGAGTGAAGACCTTGGAATCTTGAGCTGCTGGTTCAGTTTGAGCACCAGAGACATTTGTCACCTGGATTGGGGTCTCCGAGTCGAAGAGAAGATGATTTCCAGATCCTTCTTCGTCGTACATCAGACCGGAACCTTCGGGATCTCTCGCAACAATCGGATTTGATGCAGATCCCTCATCAAAGTTTATGAATTGAAGGCCTGATCCTTCGGAGTCCGTTAGTGTCTGGAATATCACATTAGTTTTTTTGGAAGTCTGTCAGAAAATATTCGCTGTTTCAGTCACAAAAAGTTTTTGGGAATGAACTTGTACAACAATGACATATTATCAACCGTATCACAAACCAAATTTTTTTCAAGCGCACTAATTTGATTTTAGTGTAACAATCTATTTATAGCTGTTTCTGAAATAGTTTACTGTCCAACTACACTAATTATCGTAGTGTAACTAGTTTTTTTTGTGGCCCACAAGCTACAAAATCGCCAACATCATTCCTATTTGAAATGCTTTTTGAAAAGCGAAACAAATAGAAAAGACGCTTTTTGGCACTTGCACATACAGTCACAAATAGAACGAAGGAGTTCGCTAGGTTCATTGAAACAATGTGTACCTGTAAAGTTCGCAAGAAAAGAACAGATATCAGTTTCAAATATTAGGAGTAGTCTTTGTGCTATGATAGCACTGCTATCAGTCGAAAAGGGTATCAAAAGATCACGAGATTGATAAAAATACAGTTTCAAAGATATTATAGTTTTTGAGAATTGCGGTATCCTGGATTCATGGAACTTCTTACCCTTCTAGAAATATTTTAACCACTCAATGAAAAAAGTATCTTAATAAAAATTTAAAATTCTCAACTAACCTCATCGACCTGTCTGGAATACCGGCTTTTGGCTGAAACCAAAGCCATAGAAGAAATAACCAGAAAACAAGTCAAGAATCGAAGCATTTTTGAACTTTCTGAGTGCACTGCCGAGGTATATTCAAGTACCCTAACCTGCCCATCATTAATCGTTTTATACCCAACTCAAAAGTGGGCGGAGTCCCCCTAGAGTTACTGTAGCTTCATCTTGTTCTTACTTTCTCCCGCCAGTTCTTCGAAGTTTTTTGCAGAAATGTTTGCGGCGGTTAAACAATGTCAAGCAAATTGAAAAGAGTTGTTCGAACTGTTTCCATTGTTGGCACTTTTTTATAATACTGTTCTTTGAAGAGAGATGTTACTTTTAAAGATTGCCAGGTTATTCGGAGGCTTTTCTGGAAATTGCGTGGGTGAGCAGAACACAAATTGATCGGAAGATGTGGTTTAAATTTGAAGATTTTGCAACTTCTAAAGTCACTTTCAGAAAACAGGTCGGGGCACATTTATGCTAAAGACCAAAACTGATAATTATTTGACATTGTGCGTAGCAGAAATGTCTGTTTCGGAATCTAGTCAATTGGAATACAGAACGTCGTTGATTGCTTTATAATCCATTGTACATTTTAGGAAATCACGTAACCAAACCTCATTGAACTGCTTTTTTTTTTGAAATTCTGAAAAAAAAGCTTTTTAGAATTATTAGATTTTTGAGAATAGTACTGGGAGAAATACAGTCCCAAATAAAAATACCGTAAAACAAGTAATAGAAAACTCCCTATTGTTTAACTTTGAGCTGATTTTCTTCGGTTTCTGTCAAAGATATCAAAACTTTGACAACTGATAAATTGTTTAATGATATCAGAATCATTTTATCAGATGACACATTTTTAATATCGTGCATAGGAGCCAAGAAAAATTAGCTTAAACTTGACAGTGTGAAGGCCCTTAAAATACAGATGTTACGGTACATTAAGGGCTTTACGGTACATCGGAAACCAAATTATCACGGAAATAAGGAAAAAAAGAGCACACTAATTTTTACTAATGATTGTGAAGAAAATCAGTTAGCAGCAAAAACAGAGTTTTTTTTGATTTACAATTCTTCAAATTTTCTAATTGAAATTTTCTCTGATGAAGTAATTTGGAACATTGTTTGCCGTCAACTATATCATTCAGATAATGTTTTAATAGTCGTTGTTCTACTTTTTATAAAATGAGGATACCTCGTCTATTTTGTTACCACTTTACAATCAGATTTTCAGATTTTTCAGCATTAAATGAAGGCGTAATTTTTTCTCGCATCTAGGACCATAAACAAATTTTAATTTGAGATGAAAAATCAACTTTCTCGAAAGTCATAAATGTCTCATTGAATTCCATGCCCAACTTCAAGCCAATTCTCTTGGGTTCAGGTGAAAAATAAAAGCGACTAACGAACAAATATTCATCATAATAGAATAATTACTTTTCCAGATGAAAATGTTTTGCTATTTTTTACATTAACGAAGAAAAATGAGTTTAAATCAAACAGTGGGCGTAACGGCTATGTCACCATAACCAAATTAGTGAGCCTGAAAAAGATCAATAATGCCTTAATTACTGTTTTCCTATATTGTTTCCAAATATGTTTAATGACTGAAACAGTAAACATTTCCATAGAAAAGTTCAAAAAATAATTACATTCCCCCTTCACTCATCAATGGTTCCTGACGCTAACCGACTACGAAGAATCAGGCCTTCAATCCATAAACTTTGATGAGGCATCTGCATCAAATTCGATTGTTGCGAAAGATCCCGAAGGTTCCGGACTGATGTACGACGAAGAAGGATCTGGAAATCATCTTCTCTTCGACTCGGAGACCCCAATCCAGGTGACAAATGTTAGTATTTGGATGTTCGAAAGAATTCCCCTTTCATAGAACTGTTGAAACAGTGAAAAAAGTTTTTGCATTATCTTCTACTTGGAGATCCCAATCAGACATGAGCGGAATTCCTTATTCCTTATTCCTTATTCCGGGTGTTTTTTCTATTCCTTATTCCTTATTCCTTCTTCCGGGTTTTTAAATTTTATTCCTCATTCCTTATTCCTTATTCCTGATTTTTAATTTTTGTTCCTTATTCCTTATTCCTTCTTCCGGATTTTCAAAAATTTTATTCCGCTCATGTCTGATCCCAATCAAGGTACCCAGCAATATCTCTTTTGTTACAATCTTTACATAACAAAGACCAGTTCCAAATTTGTCTTTCTTGACTTTGGATTTTCGATCTTTGTCTCTATCTCCTTGTTAAAATCTGTCAATTAGTACTGAGTTCACAATCTTGCCGAAAGACACCAATGCTCATTGTTATTTTTAGTCTCGCCGCCAGTGCCGAAACGGTCGTGTTTCTTTGAAAAAGTGACAAGTATTACTTGTTGGCACACACTTTCTTTTTCTTTTAGAGAAGCGGTCTTTGAGACTTTTGGCGGGATCAATGCACAAACAGTAGCAAATAGTAAGTGGTATTGGACAGCTGCGGTATTATTCTTGTGCAAAAAAATTGGAGTTGCGGCCGAATTTTCACACAAGTTAGGCCACCGTATTTCGTTTTTCAACCCAATGGTTTCACCTAATGGTGAAAAAAACGGCCAAAACCGCGAAAAAATCGAGAAAAATGATAAAAAGGAATAAAATAAGTCAAAAATTTTGCGAAAATATTTATTGCTGGGTTACGG